GTTCCAGGATTCCCAGGGCTACACCAGGAGACCCTGTCTCAAAAAAAAAATAGCATAAAATAAAACTAATGTCCTGAATTTAAAATAGTTTATTGCTTATATTTTTAGATTGAAATTCATATAAATATTTCTGAGTGTGTCTTTCATATGGAAGAAGGTGAATATTAAGAGGACATTTCTTTAGTTACTTGTATTTGTCGATACCTTCTCCATTTGTTAATGCTTGGGGACAAGTTACACACGGACTTTCCTAGTGAAGGAAACCTTACAGAGCTCATAATAAACAGTCGCTAGAATCAAGGGGAAAGAGTGGCTGGGCAGTCACTCACCAGGGCTGAGTCTGTACCCTGACAGAAGCATTTGCAACTGAGCATTAGTTCCTCACAGCTTTCCTTACGAGGACTTGGTGCTCTCATCATAGCTGTCTTTATGTAGGGTGATTAACTAAAGACCACTGACATTAGTAGTCAAGCAATCAAACATTTTATACAAGTTTGAAGAAATAATGTTTGGTGGGTGATAGAGGTACTATACTTAACATCTCTTGAGAAGCCTAAATTTACATGACTCTACATTTTTTTCTTCTTAAAATCAATATTATATTTTAATTTATCCATAATAGTATAAACACTGTACCCATGGATGGGGTTGTATTTTGACAGATGTGTATATTTTTTAAGTTTTTAATAAAAGAAGTCATTTAATTGGGTTTATAGTTCCAGAGGGTTAGGTAGAGTTCACAAGAGTGAAAAAAAAAAAAAAAGGCATGGAGACAGGAAGAGCTGAGAGCTCACATCTCAGCCACAAGCAGGAGGCAGAGATCACGATGAGAATGATACAAAAACATCAAGCCTGCCCCCCAGTGACACACCTCCTCAACAAAGTCATACCCCTTAATCCTTCCCAAACAGGTCCACCAAATGGGGACCAAGTATTCAAATATATGAGTTAATGGGGCCCTTTTATTTCAAACTAACACATTTATTCCATAGGTGACGGAGTAGAGTGGTCACTCTGCTGGGCAGAACCTCTGATGTAATTCTAGGTTTCACTTGTCTTCTCTTCTTCTAAAGTTATAGCTAGTAAGCCTACTGTGTGGACACCCTGCAGTGGTTTCCTCTCTCTTAGATATTTTGTAATGCTTTTTATCTTTTCGAATATTTATCATTTCTTCATGGTGAAAACATTTGATATACTGTCTTTGGATTTTCTGAATGGAAAAAAATCCATTGATTTTTATCTTTTAAAAGAAAGTTGTATATGTACAAAGTTTAGAAGTGAACATTTACAGGATTGCTTGTTTTGTGTTTTTAAAGTAGACAACAAAACCAAAACTGCTTGAACTTTTGTTTTCTTTCTGGCGTCTCCTCTGGGACACAGCCCACACCCCAATCCCCATCCCAAGTTTTAGGTGATTCTTTGGATCCTCTGATTCTTGATTTCTGGACTTTTGACTGTAGGTCTGTCTTCTACTGTGGAAGGTATGGAGCTGACTCCTCCCCTGCCCATTGCTGTCTGTGCTGCGAGTTATTCTTTTGCTTGTCTGTTAGTATGACTTGTCACTATGGCAACATGTAGTGAACTATGATTCTTCCCCCATTCCGTGCATCCTTTGTTTTCTCTGTACTTATCACCAGTTTATCTCTGGACTCTTGCCCACTTACCTATATTTCCTCTTAGGACTTATTGAATTGTATTGGTGTTTGACCAATGTCCCTTTGGCTGGCAGGGTTGCCCATGAAGCTTCCCATCAATCTTGATTGACCAGTGGTCCTGGGCCATCTTGTCACTTCCTCTTGTGTCCCTTTTGCTTGCCTCTCATATGAGATCACTTATTTCCTGTATTGAATGCCCTGCTCTCTCTTGATTAATATCCTTGCCATGGCAGACCACAGCCCAAGAAAGGGGATGATATGAGATGAAATTTTTGTGATATTATGTATGTCAGTTCCCTTTATTTCATCTCTATCATGCACCCTTTAGATCCCCTAGCTTAGATTGTGACTGCTGAGTGTCCCTGTGCATATTTCTCTGCATGTTTACTGTCATTTTAAAGGAGAGTCAGGAGGGAGCCCAACTACCTATGTTTAATCTGGCCTGTTCAACCACCAGTGTCCTATAACTTTATCCATTTTAAGCACATCAAGCATTTCTTTCCTATTTGAACTGAGGAAAGGGGGATTACTTGTGCTTTTCATGTGGTGAAGTGTAATGGAAGATGCCAAGTTGAACAGAAGAAGAGTTTAATAACCAAAGAAAAATAACAGTGCATTGAAGAAAGTCTATCATAACTAGGCAATTAGAACTCTTCGTCTGGGGAAAAAGCATAACTTTTTCTTTTGTTACTAAGATGAATAAGGTTTAGGACTGGGAATATAGCCCAGTGGAAGAGTGCTTGCCAAGAATGCACAAGGCCCCAGATTCTGTCCCCAGCACCACAAAAGGGCAGGGTAGAGGCAGGCTAGGAAAAGCAAGACTCAGAAATGAACTCTTTTGCTTAGGTTTGTGAAGCTGGCAGGATTGGGTCTTCACAATGCTGGGAAGCTTCATAGTCACTGATGGGACCAGGTGTGTCTTGCTAAGCAATACCAGAAAGCCCATTTGGGCACAGTAGTGAAGGACAACTATTTTGGAGGCATTTCTCCTGCAAAGGGAACTGTGATGGAAAAATCAGGGTTTGGAGTTAAACTCTGCTATCAGGAAGTGTGTCAGGGTCCAGCTGATCAAGAACAGCAAGAAAATCAGAGCCTGGTGCCCAGATAGTTGCTTATGCTTCATTGAGAAAAACAATGAAGTGAAGTTCTGGTTGGTTGGTTTGGTCAAGAAAGGTCTTACAGTTGGTGATAACTTCTGGAGTCCAATGTAAGGTTATTAAAATAGCCAGTGCATCTCATTTGGCTCTGAAGAAAGGCAATAAGGAAAGATCAAGCTCATACATTTCAGTGAGGGTAAGACATTTTCATATTTAGAAAGTTGGAAACAAGATCGGGGGATGCTCTCCAATACTATAAATATAGGAAGTGCCAGTAGGGTATTTATTTTAAAATGACTCATGAATCTTACATCAATTTATAAACCATTTTTAACCTAAATATTCTCAAGTTAGAAGTTAGTGGCTTCGAGCTACTTCATTTTGGGGCTACAAGATAAATCAGCTTACTACACAGGTCTCAGTCCATTGTGATTCTAGCCTCATATGATGGCGCTGCACACGATGGCCTGTGCCTTTAATCCAGAGTTCCAGCTTGGTCTCCAGAGCAAGTTCTACATAGTGAGATGATGTCCTAAAAAATGTTTCTATTGCTTGTTTTTTTTTTTTTTTTTTGGGGTTTTTTTTGGGTTTTTTTTTTTTTTTTTTTTTTTTTACATGCATGATTCTGGAATTTTTCTGAATGTCAATTCATATTGGGGGAAAAAAGAGGTAAGATCATTGCTTGGGCTGGCAAGTGGAGTTGATTTCCTTCTGCTAGAGAAAGTTAAAGGATTTGAAATTTATGGTAATGAGCACCCCTTTTAGCATCGGACTATGACACTGCAACTTGAGGGGACAAAGTTGGATGTAAACACAACCTTTTGACTCCTCAATCATTTCTGTAATAAAATGTAATTTCTGTAATAAGAATAAGAAAAAATGATGGAATGAGGCATGGTTCCTATAAATTTATACTATCAATGTATTGCTAGTCTTTCATAGGACTTCTCTTTCAGTTTTTTATGGAGCATGTGGCATTTCACATTTTACTGGAAATGTCCAAGCTTTTGAGACCTCAGCATGATGTTGTTTTTTTACAAATGTGCTGGGTTGAATTCATAGCTATCCAGGACACATGCAGCCCGTAGGCTGCAGTCTCTGTATGCCAGTATTAGATTATGTGTACTGACTATATAAAACAAGGCTCAAATCCAGGCTCTGCCAGGCCTCATTTCTTATCTGGAAAGTGGACAAGGTAGTAAGCATGTGGTGATGAATGTGAATTAAAGCATGTAAAGTCTTTAGCCCGATGTAGGAAGAGCTCAACAAATGATTTTTTTGTCTTTTGTAAACTGCTAAGAGATTGAATCCACATCTCTTTCTTTCTTTCTTTCTTTCTTTCTTTCTTTCTTTCTTTCTTTCTTTCTTTCTTCCTTTCTTTCCTTCCTTCCTTCCTTCCTTCCTTCCTTTCTTTCTTTTCTTTCTTTCATTTTTTTGAGATGGGGTTTCTCTGTATTGTTTTGGAGCCTGTCCTGGAACTCGCTCTGTAGACCAGGCTGGTCTTGAACTCACAGAGATCTGCCTGCCTCTGCCTCCCAAGTGCTGGGATTAAAAGCGTGCACCACCAATACCCGGGTGAATCCACATCTATTTCTATATTTATATCTTGCTGGAGACTAAACCCAAGGCCTCACATGGAGTAGTCAAATGCCCTACCACAGAGCTATATGGTGGCCCTCAAGAGATGTTACCTGGTTTTGGTTCTAACTCTTAAATTAATCCCTAAATGACTCCTGAGAGCATGGTGTGTAGTGTAGGTGATGGCAAGGCTACTTCCATACCTGATGCCTTGCCAGCAACCAGCTCCAATCCATGGCAATACGGGTACTTAATTTTAAAAAAAGACTTATTTTATCTTTATTTATGTGTATGTATGTGTCTCTCTAGTGTGCATATGTCTGGGTGTATATGTAGATGTATGTATTTGTCATCTGTGTCTATGGAGTCCAAAAGAGGGCGGCAGAGTCCTGGAGCTGGAGTTACAATTGGAAGGGTTGTGAGCCACATGACCTGGGTGCTGAGAACTGAACTTGGGTCCTCTCTAAGAACAGAAAGTGTGTTTAACCACTGAGCCATTTTTCCATCCTCGTATTTAAAAGAAAAATTTTAAAGCTTCTTTCCTTTGCCAGGATTTTAAGTGATAAGAACTTGCTCCCCGGTAGTGATTTTAGCTGCAGCTTGAAATTCCTCATCTATGCAAGGGGACGTTTTAATGATTTTCCTCACTGTCTTATATGGTACTTTACAGATCACCAGTCAGGACTCCGAAGGTCCCGGACCCTGATGGGCGTGGTAAGCCATGGCTGCAGATGATAAAGTTGCTATCCTGACGGATGATGAAGAAGAGCAGAAGAGGAAATATGTGCTTGCTGATCCCTTCAACGGCATCTGCAGGGAACCAGAGCCGCCTTCCAACGAAACCCCCTCCTCCACGGAGACTTCCGCCATTCCCGAGGAGGAAATAGACTGGATAGAGAAACATTGTGTGAAAATAAACAATGACCTTCTCATTTCCAAGGTGTTTTATTTTTTCTTCTATTCTGCCTATGGCTCTCTTTACCCGCTCCTGCCTGTGTATTATAAACAGCTGGGAATGTCACCCAGCCAGAGTGGACTGTTGGTAGGCATTCGATACTTCATTGAATTCTGCAGCGCCCCCTTTTGGGGTGTAGTTGCAGATCGTTTCAAAAAGGGCAAAATTGTCCTCCTCTTTTCACTTTTGTGTTGGGTTTTGTTCAACCTGGGCATTGGATTTGTCAAACCCGCTACCTTGAGATGCATACCAAAGATTCCCCCCACAGCTCACCCCACCAATGTAAGTCACCCAGCGACTATCCTGCCAATGAATTCCTCCATCACTTTCTTTACCACGCCACCAAAATCACGTGAGAAAAGGAACCTGCTGTTTCTGCCTGAAACAGAGCCCAATGTGTCAGACACAGCCCTCTTCTCAACAGCCTTGACTTTGACCAGTGAACCCACGCTCCAGCCCCAGACAGAGGAAACTACCCGCCGTGTTACGGACTTGATTTTAAACACAAGCACAGTGACTCCTACCCCCGCAGGAAATGTCACAGAGACAACCACTGCCGTTGTCACCACCACCAAATCTTTACCATCTGACCAAGTCACCCTCGTTTATGACCAACAAGAAGTTGAGGCGATATTCTTGGTTATCTTGGTGGTTGTCATAATAGGGGAATTTTTCAGTGCCTCCTCTGTCACGATCGTAGATACAGTAACCCTCCAGTACCTGGGGAAACACCGAGACCGCTATGGGCTGCAGCGCATGTGGGGTTCCCTGGGCTGGGGCCTGGCCATGCTGTCTGTGGGCATCGGCATCGACTACACCCACATAGACGTGCTCATTGATGGGAAGGGGTGCAAGCCCCCCGAGTACCGGAACTACCAGATCGTCTTCATCGTCTTTGGAGTTCTTATGACCATGGCCCTGATCGTTGCCACTCAGTTCCGGTTCCGCTACAACCACTTCAAAAACAGTGACAGTAAAGGGAAAGAGGTGGAGATCCCACAGGTGGAAAGGGACAACTCCACGGAGTCCTCCGAGGAGACCCCGACTGCGGCGAGTCACTCACAGGCCTTCAACTTCTGGGACTTGATCAAGCTGCTGTGCAGTGTGCAGTACGGCTCGGTGCTGTTTGTGGCCTGGTTCATGGGTTTTGGATACGGCTTCGTGTTCACCTTTCTCTACTGGCATCTGGAAGATCTGAATGGAACCACAACTCTCTTTGGGGTCTGCTCTGTCCTGAGTCACGTGTCTGAGTTGACGGCTTACTTCTTCAGCCACAAGCTTATTGAGCTGATTGGCCACATCAGGTAAGAGAGTGCTTCCTATTGGCTGCTCCTCGGTGATTGACTTTCTCATTGTTTAGCTCCTTAAGTGGGGCTAGGGTAGGGGTGGAGCCTTCTGCTCCTCCTCCTCCTTCAAACGGAAGTAAAAGGAACCAACGCCCAGATTTAGTTGGATTATCTAAGAGAAACAAAAGGGAGGCTACAATCCCTGCCCGGAAAAGACATAAAGGCTATGCAGCTACATACTACAGGCTCCATGGGAGCAACAACTTAGTGAACTCTGTTTACCTCGAGGGCCTGTTGTCTGTGGCACTTACAAAGGATTTTTTTTTTTTTTTAAGAGATCGACTTTCTTCAGCTTTTGTATATTCTCAGGTACTTACTGGTATAGAGTGAGAGAATATGGCATATAAAGAAGACTAGGGGCTAGACATGTAGTTTGGTGATAGAGCCCTTGTGAATGTAGGTGTTGATCCTGAGAACTGCCAGGAAAATAAAGGGGGAAAAAGAAGAGAAAAACAACTGTAATATTTAATAAAACTGTGATAAAAACAAACCATAGCCCTCTAATCCATGATACTACATGGAAGAGATTTTTATATAACATTTCCCCCTAATTACATCAAGCTTTATGTGCCTCAAAGACATGTTATTTAAAGAGCCCCCTTTTTCCTAAAATTTCTTATGTTACTATTTTAGTTAAAATGAAATAGACAACGGCTACTTTTTCTGCAGTACAGTGCTTCTTACCACTAACATCTCTATAAAGCAGACTGAATAGTAGTACCTCTCTCTATAGTCTTCCCTACTCAAAAATTATGGTCTGAGCTACACATAACACTTAGCCTGTTGAAAGGTGTGACGGGTCTCTATAAAGCAGACTGAATAGTAGTACCTCTCTCTATAGTCTTCCCTACTTAAAAATTATGGTCTGAGCTACACGTAACACTTAGCCTGTTGAAAGGTGTGACGGGTGTGTCCATAAACTACTAGATTGACCTCACTAAAAACACCTATGTGTTGTGTGCCTGTGATAATCTTCAAATCTGATGTTGCAATATGAAATTACAAAATATGAAAATACTGCAAAATGCAATATCAAATATGCTATTAAAATAATATGAAGTTACAAAGGAGTAGACAGTGGGAAGTCTTGGAAAACAATGATGTTTATTCATTTCGAACTGAAGAAAGTATTTTCTAATTTAAAGTTTCAGTGAGAATCCTAATTTCCCCCAAGTCATTGTGAATATTTTTCCCTGTTTGGTAGTCTTTGTGAGGTTGTGTCCTGCTCCTTTTTTTTTGAATTAATTTTTATTTGAATTAAAAACAATCTTATTTTATATACCAGTCCCAGTTTCCTCTCACTCCCATCCTCCCATCCCCCCCACCATCTCCCCATCCCATTCCTCAGGGAGAGTGAGACCTCCCATGGGGGATCATCAGAGTCTGTCACATCATTTGGGGCAGGACCAGGACGCTCCCCCTGTATCTAGGCTGAGAGAGTATCCTGAATGTGCTCCAGAAAGCCAGTTCATGCTCTAGGGTTAAAAACAGGTTCCACTGCCAGAGGTCCCATAGACTGCCCAAGACCCCCAGCTGACACCCATGTTTAGGGGACCTGGTTTGGTCTTATGCAGGTTCCCCAGCTGTCAGTCTGGGGTCTGTGAGCTCCCACTTGCTCAGGTCAGCTGTTTCTTTGGGTTTCCCCAGCATGGTCTTGACCCCTTTGCTCATCAGTCTTCCAGAAATTCAGCTCAGTGCTTAGCTGTGAATCTCTGCTTCTGCTTCCATCAGCTACTGGATGAAGGCTCTAGGATGGCATTTAGTCATCAATATCTTAGGGGAAGGGCATCTAAGGTAGCCTCTTCATTATTGCTTAGATTCTTAGTTGGGGCCATCCTTGTGGATTCCTGGTAATTTCCCTAGTGCCAGGTTTCTCATTCAGCCTATAACTGTAGTGGTCTTGCTGGTGAACTTGTAATGGTGGCCATACCCCTTTGGGCATGGCTTCAGGTGGACAAAAGCAGAAAGAGGGAAGCTTGAAGTGTGGCTTCGTTTTGGCTTTCTTTTTTCCTGGGTCAGCCGATCCAATAGGAAGGGCAGAGAAGCGCTGCCTCAGTTCTTTAATATTATCTGTGTAAGTGTACCCCAATAAACACCCACTTATCATTTATTTTGGGTCTAGTGAATCATTATGCCTATGCCTTCACATAATGGCTCCCACTATTACCATATCTCTTTCCTTGCTCTCCTCTGTTTTTCCCCCAACTTGACCTCTCTGATCCCCCCTGTTCTCCTTCCCTATGACCTTCTCTCCTCCTCTTTCTCCTAACTCCCTCTTCCCTTCCTCCTCCCAATTTACTCAGGAGATCTTGTCTCTTTCCCCTTCTCGGGGGAGTCCTTGTATGTCTCTCTTAGGGTCTTCCTTGTTTCCTAACGTCTCTGGGATTGTGGATTTTAGGCTGGTTATCCTTTGCCCTATGTCTAATATCCACTTATAAGTGAGTACATACCATGTTTGTCTTTGTATGCTGGGTTACATCACTCAGGATGGTTTCTTAAAGTCCCATCCAGTTGCCTGTGAATTTCAAGATTTCACTGATTTTTCCCCCTCTGAGTAGTACTCCAATGTGTAAATGTACCACATTTTCTTTATCCATTCTTCAGTTGAGGGGCATCTAGGTAGCTTCCAGGTTCTGGCTATTACAAATAATGATGCTATTATGAACATAGTTGAACTGATGTCCTTGTGGTATGAATGTGCATCCTTTGGGTATATGCCTAAGAGTGGAATTGCTGGATCTTGAGGTAGACTGATTCCTATTTTCCTGCGAAACCGCCATACTGTTTTCCAAAGTGACCATACAAGTTGGCATTCCCACCAGCAATGGAGGAGTGTTTCCCTTTCTCCACATCTTCTCCAGCATAGACTTGTCATTGGAGTTTTTGATTTTAGACATTCTGACAGGTGTAAGATGGTATCTCAAAGTTGTTTTGATTTGCATTTCCCTGATTGCTAAGGATGTTGAGCAATTTTTTTTTTGAGAAATTTCTTAAGTGTCTTTTGGTCATTTGTGATTCCTTGATTGAGAATTCTCTATTTAGACCTGCACCCCATTTTTAAATTGGATTATTTGGTGTTTTGGTGACTAGCTTTTTGAGTTCTTTATATATTTTGGAGAACATCCCTCTGTCAGATCTTTTCCTATTCTGCAGGCTGCCGTTTTGTCTTGTTGACTATGTCCTTTGCCTTACAGAAGCTTCTCCGTTTCAGGAAGTCCCATTTATTAATTGTTCATCTCAGTGTCTGTGCTACTGGTGTTATGTTCAGGAAGTCGTCTCCTGTGCCAGTGCATTCAAGGGTACTTCCCACTTTCTCTTCTAAGAGGTTCAGAGTGGCTGAATTTATGTTGAGGTGTTTGATCTATTTGACTTAAGTTTTATGCATGGTGGTAGATAATGGATCTATCTGCAATCTTCTACATTTCAGCATCCAGTTATGCCAGCACCATTTGTTGAAGATGCTTTCTTTTTCCATTGTATAATTTTAGCTTCTTTGTCAAAGATCATTTGTTCACAGGTGTATGCATTAATATCAGGGTCTTCAATTCAATTCCATTGGTCTATCTGTTTTTGAGCCAACACCAAGCTGTCTTCATTATTATAGCTCTTTAGAAGAGCTTGAAGTCAGGGATGGTGATGCCTCCAGAAGTTTCTTTATTGTACAATGTTGTTTTGGCTATTCGTCCTGCTCCTTTTCTTTCTCATGTCTTTGACTTTTTATTGTCACTAAAAGTCAGGCACTGTGTAGACGGCTCCCAGTCCTAGAGTCTCTGTGGCTTAAGTAGTAGAAACATTCAGAAAAGAACTTAAATATTGGGATGAGACCACCTCTCTATTGTGTGCAAGCCATGCCTAACATATTGCTCTTGATGAATCTGTTCTCTGCAGCCTGGATGTGGGAGTGGGCCTCACTCTCAAAGTATCTCTTGAATCAGCATTTTATTCCTAAGGCATTTCTAGTTGGGTGTCAACAATGAGTGGAATTCCCAAACAGAATCAGCCAGTAATGTAGTTGAAAACAGTGTAAAGCATACATACATTTCCAAATAGTTATACTAGACCCTTCTTACACCTAGAAAAATACATTTCCCTTCTGCCTATATGATATATATATATCATATATTCTTTTTAGAGTAATTTGTTTGTTTATTTTCTAGTATTGGGGATTGAACCCAGGGCCCCATGCTTGCAGGGTAGGCACTTTACTACTGAGCTATCATCCCAGGCCTTAGATACATACTCCTATAACAAAACCCCTAGTCAGTTCACTACTATTTCTGGTAATTAAATGAACTTATGCTTGTATTCTCCCTTTCTAAGGAGTGTTAGTAACTACTTAGAAGCTTAGAATTCACATAACCTTAATTTTATTGTTTTGTTGTTGTTGTTTTGTTTTGTTTTTGGTTTTTTTGAGACAGGGTTTCTCTGTGGCTTTGGAGGCTGTCCTGGAACTAGCTCTTGTAGACCAGGCTGGTCTCGAACTCACAGAGATCTGCCTGCCTCTGACTCCCAAGTGCTGGGATTAAAGTGCGCCACCACTGCCCGGCACAATTTTATGGTTTTATGTACAGAGAACATCTTCCTTTTCTTGCTTAATGAGGTAAAGAAGATGGCTCATAAAGGGTAGTAGTATCTCTCAAGAGCTTTGAGGATTCCGTTTATATGAAGTCATTCCCCCATTTTGTTTTTAAATTCTATCCATTAAAATATTAATTAGAGTCTTGAGGGATAGCTCAGTGTGTAAATGGTACATTTATCTAATTATTCTTTATCAATAAAAACTTGGGAGTCAAGTACGGAATAAGAACCTGAACGAGCAGTGTGGTGGTGGTGCACACCTTTAATCCCTCGAATCAGGAGGCAGAGGCAGGCAGATCTCTGAGGCCAGCCTGGGCTACAAAGCTACACAGAGAAACCCTGTCTTGAAAAAACAAAACAAAACAAAACAAAAGAACCCG